CAATGCAAACCCTTGCTTCTTGTATAATTAATGGTAATATGTATATATATATATTTGTTAGATTCCTAACACATTTCAGAATCGAAATGAAACGAATGCCGTTTATCCCATTCCTCAAACGTTCTTTTGACTGGCTTTATTGACTTGCAGATTGCTGCTGGTTAAAATTGGCATTTGTTATGCTCGACAGTTGACAGCTGATTGAGAGATCTGTAAAATAGGACGAATCTTGGCCTAATGGCTTACCTTTTTATCGGTTCATTTAGCTCCGGCTGAAGGGTCACCGATTAGAACAGGAGCGCAGCTGTGCGCAAATTGGGCCCAAAAATGTAGTGCATTTTTAAACAACATCAGCATATGCGCTTTAAACTTAACAAGCTTACTTTTTAAGTAAAAGTTAGCTTCCATGTAGAAGCAGCTTTTTCTTGGGAAATTCCCGACCAACTGGTCACACTTTTAATTTTGATTAATGATTGCCGTAGAGGCCCACATCATTTATATGCCTGACTGGGCAACGCCAACCTGTCGCCTTGATGGGCCTAAAAACTTTATTCCACCATTATTTTATTTAGCTACTGATGATGATGGGCGGAGAGGGGCATGCAGGTTTTTGGGATGGGGACATCGCATCGATTTGCTGATTTGATGAATTGTTTAATGGGATTTTGTTGACACTTTGCGTTCGACCCAAAACCTGACAAGTGTTTCCAGCTGCCCTGCACGTACGTCCTTTTCAATACCATGTTGCTTGTTGTGTAATTTAATTAAAAATTTACATTGCATAGTTGCAGACGTCAGGCGATATAATCACTGGCTTTTGTTCCAGGCTCGAGGGAACGAAAGCGCAGCTTGTTCTCAACTTGCGTAAAGTTCATTTTTATTACTCTTTCAAGTAACATTAAAATTTAGTTGCATACACGAACCGGAGCTTTGGATGGCTATAAAAACCCCAGCGTAAAACTCTGCTGCACTTTATATTTTATTTGCAGACTTCCAGAAAACCCAACCAGAGCCGAGTATCAGAAGCATTTGAGGCGTTCCGTTTCCGTTTCTTAGACTCAGCAGATTTAGCAATTCTATGCCAAAGTTGCTGCATTAAAAATACACAACGCGACTCGGGACGGAGATGCGGCGTTGTGAGGGGCGGGGCTTGGCGGGACGTGGCGCGGCGCGGCGTAACACGACTTGAGCAGAGTTGCAATTTGTTGGGGCCAGAGTGTTGGGTAGCAGCAAATGCAATGAATCGTTAAATTTAGCATCCTATTTCAATGCAATTCAGTGAAACGAAATGTGCTGCTGATGCTGACAGGTGAATTGCAGCTGTCAGTCAACGGGACGGCAGTGAGGATTTGGTTGGGGTCATTCCCTCTATCGCCTACATCGACCCCTTCCCCCAAAAATGGATATTCTTGCTGCTTCATTTCATCCATATCTCTCTTTCGTAGCTTGGGTCTTGTTAGCAAATGATTTGTCCTCAACACACATTGCCTGCCCGTAGATCCAACAGCTTAGCAGCAGGAGCAGTAGCAATCTCTTAACCATTTCCCCACCCCACCCCACCCCAACCCATTCCCTTCCCTACCACACCACTTGACTATATGCAGCCGTAAGCTTCTTCTTCGTCCAACAACCCGAAAATATTGAAATTTTTGCACAACTTTCGCCCGCACTTTGCACTTATTAAAAACTCGTACAGATGAAATAGAAAAACCTTGTTAGGGGTTGCGTCGAGCAAGGGGAAGGAAGGAAGGAAGGAAGGGGGCGCATAAATTGCCAGGCCGAAAATTCGCAGGCCCAACTTTGTGGAACTAGGGTTAGGGCTATAAAAAACAGCTGCATACTTTACGGCGCTGAGCATATGCTGATTTTATATGCCTCCGCTCGTTTCCGCACTCACCCCTCCCCGACAATCCTTACTGTGCCTAGCCACACGGGGTCAATTTTTATGAGCATTTGGGCATATTGGAAACAAGGCCAAAAGTTATGGCAATAATTTAACAATGTTGCAGAAGCAGAGGCGCGTCATTGAAAAAGAGAGTTGTGAGGGGGGGTGTCCACCATGGAGATGTCAGCGAAAGTGTTGTCGAAATCGAGTTGTTTTTCTGGGTTGCATACATGTGTTTTATTAAAAAAAAAAACAAAAAAACAAGAAAAGCAATTGTGTTCCAGTTGTTGAACAGCAATAACCTTGTTGCACATGACACTTGTCACATCTAATCGAAACACTTTTCTAGTTATTAAACTACGCCACTGGGCGGCAAAACGTTTTCTGAATATATTTTATAAAATCAATTCAATTTTTTTTTCATACATTTACAATTTTTTCTTTCTTTTTTGCGTTATAGTAAAAATGTTAGTATTAATTTCCATATAAATTGCACGACTGCCTGAGTTGGTAATCCTATTGCTATATTTCAGTGTGTGTACGTTAGTATATGTATGTGTGTATGTGTGTATAAGTTCACATTTCAAACGGTTGAAATCAATTTGCACATATCAACATCGAAATTGTTTGCACTATGAAGCCCAGCTCCAATATTCATTTCCCCTCTCCCCCACCCTACCGCCTCCTTCTCTTCCACTGCGTTGCAAATTCAGAGCGTTAGTCAAATGTGCGAAATGAAAAATCAGCAAGAAACGTTGCACGCAAGCAAAAGTTAGCTGCATTTTAACTGTAAAGCCCGCAAACCAATCGAATCAAAAACCAAGCATGGTTCAGTTCCTGGTTCTCGTTCTCGTTCTGGTTCTGGCGCTATCTATGGCATCTACAAATTTCATTTGGTGGGCCTTTAATCTTTTTAACAGGCAAGCCCCCGCCTCCCGCAGAGCACAAACATAATTAAATTTATTTAAATTTTACTCTAAGCCAAGCAACAAGCAATGTTGGCAATCCAGCAAATAAACAGAAATCCCAGTTTTATTGCTGTAATGATACGATTTTTATGACTCGTCACGGAAGTGTCTCTCTCTCTCTCTCTCTCTCTCTCTCTCTAGTTTGCACTCTCAATTTCTCCCTGTCTCTGTCGGTCTATCAGTCTTGGCTACGCTTCGCAATCAAATTGCTTAAGCAAACATAAAACTTTACAAAGGCGCCAAGAGACAACGCTAAAAAAATATATATGTATATGTAAAAAATGGCTGTGAATTTGCTTTGCCATCTTTTGTAATGGTGAAGGAGGAGCAGGAGCAGGAGGAGGTGGAGGAGCGGCGGGTGTTAGCTGATGCTGTAGCTCATTACAGCCACAAACCAATATGCTTATTGCTGTTCGGGCTATAAAAACTGTTAACGTAAGCGTAAAATGCTTTCAAGTGCTTCGCAAATCCAGCGACGATGAGCGCTAGCAAATCATTTTCGCGAAATGAATGAGAGCAAGAAAGTTGGTGAGAGGAAGAGAGAGGAAAAGAGATTGTGAGAAATCTCCATTGGGCGTTTTATAATGAGCAGCAGCGAATTTAGTTGCATCCAAGTGTATTCCCACAAATGATTTAAACGCAAATTTAAGTGGGAATACAATTGATAGTTGCTGCTTATATTGCTTGTTAAACTTAAATTCTTTTGCAAATATTATTGTTAATTTTGGAAAAAATGAAAATTCTTTTTTCTGGAAACCTAAAATGCTTTTAGGTTTCTACTTTAAATATATAATTTATTTTATTAAAAATGAAGATGTTTATGTTTATGAAATTCAATTAAGTACTTAAGAAACTAAACTTACTCCATTAGAAAAACTGAAGCATACTCATTCCATCTGGTTTCAATTTGAAGTTTATTTATTTAGTAGTGCATATTTTTAGCTATTCGTTTGAGCTACTTTTATTGTGACCACACTTGAGCTTTCAAAGTGTCAAATCTGAAATATTTTTCTGAAATTTAGGTTGACAGGTTGACATATGAAATTGGTCGGAACAACAGATATGGTGTTTTTTTTTTCTTCTTCTTCTACTTGAAAGCCACACATAGTACAAGTATTTTTCATTTTACTTGGCTTTTCTTTTTGTGATGTTGCTTGGTTCGGCTGAATATATTTCCCACATGCTTGCAGTGCGCAAAAGTCTGGCCGGCAACTTGTCGAGCCAAAAGTTGAACGCAAAACTTGCCAAATGATACCAAGTACAAAAATAACAACAAGAGAGAATAACAACAATAGCAGCTGCCTCAATGGCAACCAAATGGTCTGCATGTTTTGGCTGTGGACGCCTTGTAGCAAACTTTAAATTATTTACAATACTTGCACTTACAATGTCCTCAGATTTGTGTCCAAGGCAACAATGCAGCTCATTCACTCCCCCCTCTCTCTCTCTCTCTCTGTCTTTCTCTCACTCGTTTTCTTTCTCGCTTTGTGATCCGCCCTAGCTCTGTGCAAATATTATTATATACTTAGAAAAAAAATATACTTATATATATAAATTCTGTTCTTTAACCTGCGCCATTTGGTTTTGCTTGCTTTGGAATTCTGCCTGCCTTCGGGTTTAACAGAGTTTCAACATCTGCACAAAAAGCTAAAAAGTTTCAGTGCCCGCTCAGAACAGAAAGGGAATACCATTGTTGTGGCATAAATCTTAAATAACTGAGCAAAAGATTGATCACTTATTCGCTTAAAATATTTAAACATTTCTATTAAAATGAATTTCTTAGTCCAGTAACTGCATCAATGCTTGGTTTTAGTTTGTACCAGTATTTAAATATATTAAAATTGTACATTTAATCGGCTTTTCGCATTTATATTTGTAATCTTCTTTAAGCAAACACTATTTTGATTACGTATCAATGTTGTTAATATAACAATTTAAGTCAATTTAAGTATTTGTATAGATTACTTTAATCTGCTAGTTATATTCAAAGTTTAAATCTTAATATTATAAATCAATAATAAATCAAGTAACAACAAAACAAAATCGATAGCCAACAAAAATAACAAACGCGTCAATCTTAATCGCAAAAGTCGTGTCTGCGCTTCGTGGCAATATCCGTTAATATTAATCCGTCGTTACATTTACAGATGCAAATTTTTCGGAGTTTCCTTATATACAATATCTGACACGTAAGTTTTGGTTGAAAAGCGACTCTGCAGCAACCAATCGCGGTTACCAATAAGCAAAATAACAGTTATATACAAATTTCACTTAAACATTCGATTTAAAATAAAAAAAACATAAATCGAATTGATATGCTGGGTAAACAACTTTACTCCAGGACAAAGGCGGCGGCAAAACGACAGGACAACTGAAACTGGCTAGGGGTACCGACGAGGCTGTGCGCTGGTTGGAGGCATTTGCTGTACAAACGATGCACATGACAATATTTTTGCTGCTTGCTTAACGTTTCGTGATTTTTGCCAGATTTTTAATGCCACACACACCCACACATATCCAAACCGCTTCCTGTTCGTATCTCTTTCTGTGTGTGTGCAGCACGTACGCAGTTCTCTCTGTCTCACTCTCTAGGTATGTGTATGTGTACGTATATGTGTGTGTGTGTGCGTGAGTCGCAAACAACATGCGACGTTGTATTGACAGCATATTGTGACAAATATGTAAAAAAAAAAAAGAAAAAGTAAATCTACAAAACACACAAGCGCAAAATAAATCGAATTCTCCGCAATGCAAAATGCTTCTCTTTTTAATAGCCCAGTGACCACTGTAAAGTGCTGTAAAGTTGAACTTTAAAGGACTATAAACATTTTTTCCAGTAGTTTTTCATCATTAAATTGTGGCTTTTGCGATAACATAAGAAAAATTGCAAGTTTCTATTTGCTCTCCAAAAATTGAAGCCTGGGCTGTCGCTAAATTCTCTTATATGTAATTATATTATAGCCTTACTATTATTCTGCTTCACAAGTTAATTACTCAATTTAACCTACTCAGAAAAGTGGAATTCTTTTTGTAAGGCGGAACACATTTATTACCTACTTTGCCGTCGCTAGTCCTGGTCTTAAAATCTATAGTAAATTCTGTTATTGACCAATGCTTGGCTGTTCTTTTGTGCACTTTCACAGATCCACCGGAGATCATCAGGAAGCCGCAGAATCAGGGTGTGCGTGTTGGAGGCGTGGCCAGTTTCTATTGTGCGGCACGCGGCGATCCTCCGCCATCGATAGTTTGGCGCAAGAACGCCAAAAAAGTATCGGGTGAGTAAATGGACCCTCTCAACCTAAATGCCAGCTCCTAATTCCTTTTCTCACACACACGCAGGCACTCAATCGCGCTACACGGTGCTGGAGCAGCCTGGTGGTATCTCCATATTACGCATTGAACCCGTTCGAGCTGGGCGCGATGATGCGCCCTATGAGTGCGTGGCGGAGAACGGGGTGGGCGATGCCGTATCCGCAGTTGCAACTTTAACCATCTATGAAGGTAAGTGGCAACCGATCCCATCTATTCGTATGTGTGTCTGGCCAATTGCAGGCGTCCTAATTGAAGCTGCAGTCGTAGAACGTGGGCTAAGGATGCGTTCGGCTGGGGTGTGGAGTGGGTGGTGTGTGCGGGATTGTAGAAAAGTTTTAGCGTAATGTAAGCAAAGTTCATACATTGATTTTGAATTAAAACTGGGTAAAGAACTTTACATGCCTTGGCGTAGTAGCAACTTTTTCCACACCACATAAACCCACACTCATCCACGCCCTCATCATCATCCCCCTTCTCTGGGCCACCCCTGGGATAACTGCCTGCTGCAAAGTTGTTTGCCAGCTTGTTTGTGTGGCTTAAATTACTTGCCAAAATTTACTTTTGCTTATTTACAACTGTGCAAAGGATAAAGTTTTTAGCCTAAGCCTAATCAAGTCTATGCCAAATAGCTAGATATACACAGTCATAAGGGGGGAGGGCGTGGTGGGGCAGGCTGCTCACTTACTTGGCACCGGCAATTGAACTAATTTGCTTAAACTGAGCGCACAGCCGGCCAACAAAAAGTATTTATAATTTTGCACTAAATTATAAACAGCTAAAAGTGCCTTCCCCACGCAAATCAATAACAAAGCAAAAACAATGCATGAGTTCTGAATTTTCATAACTTTTGCCGGCTTCACCAAATTTTAATGAGCTTTAAGTAGCCTGCGTCTTATTAAGTGTGCAATTAACTCGTAAAAATTAATCGCCTGCAACTACAACTACACTACTACTACAAAATTTGGCAAAAATAAAACTTGTAGTTGGGAAAACTTGAAAAGTTTCAACTGATTGACTTGTGGATTTATTAGTAAGCCAATTTGGTGCACCATAAACTTATAATTTGACGAAGCAAAAAATAAAAAATATACCAAAAATTGTATATCTTGTATATCTTAAAACTTCAAGTTTCTCATCAGCATATTTATTGTTTGGTTATTAAAGTTTATCAAAGCCATAACAAAGTTTTGAGGCGAAGATTGAGAGTGCTCATACTAGAATAGACCCATTTTCCACAGTAAACAATTAGTAAATACTGAAAACATGGGGGGATCTCTGTCAAAAATAAAATATTACTAGTCATGTACAGTTTACTTGATAATTTTGCCTCGACTGTAAGATCTCAGCGATATAGTAATATGCAAAGGCTACTCGAATATCCGAAAATGTTACGCAAATATTTATACTTTAAATTTGTTTAGCTTCAAAATGTTGTTAGAGTCATTATTTCTGCTCAATTCTTTTTGATTTGTGTGTGCTTTGCTGTGGCAGCCATTTTGTAAACGGAAAATAATTATCACCTATAAGGTAAAAATGTATGCAAGCCGCGTATGAGTAATGTGCGGTAGTTTATGGCCAGACTGCAACTTATAATTTACTACTACTGTCTACGGGTTGTTTGCGACTTGTTTGTTGTTGTTGTTATTGTTATTGTTAGTGTTAGTGTTATTGTTATAGTTGTTGTTCTTTATGGTGCGGGTGAGATTTGGGTTGGTTCTCGCAGCCCCACAAAATGTGTGAAAATTGCACGTGCCCAGGTGTAAAAACATATTTTGGTTGATATACACACACACAAACACTCAGGTTTTTGCATTTTTAGTTGTTAATTATGCCAGTTGATTATGCTTTGTGCACCCTGGCGCCAGGTAATTGGTGGTGCATTTGATTTGTGGCGGCTTGTAACGCTTCTGGCTGTAGCCGTCCCCATATACGATATGGTAGCACAGCCCACAAAATGAGGGGAAGTAATTAGTGTAGCTTAGCAGGGACTACAAGCTAGCGTTTGAAGGTAAAAGTGGCCTCATTTCTCTTTCCAGAGATGTCGACAGTTTGTGGGCGGAAAATTGCTATCTACATAGATATATATTTTAGGCAACGATATACTGATTTTTATTAAAATATTATTTTTAATCTTGTCGTATTTTATTCATCAGCGCTGAGGCTTCCAAGTATATTCTTAGTCTTTTTTTTTTTTTTGTATAAAGTTCACTTTGCTTACTGCCGCAAATATATCATCATACAGTAGGAAGTTTTTTATTTTGCCATGCCAGCACTTAGCCCCATGTATATCCATCATCTTTGTATATAGCCGTGCTATAATATGTATATATGTATCTCATATAACTCACCTGCAGCTGCACAAGCCCCAGCAGTCTTAACAATTAATTGCTTTATGTTGCTGTACCCGGAGGTTGAGGCATGTTGTGATATTTATATCGTCCTTATACACTAACTTCAGATATTAACTTAGTTGGAAAAATTTTAGAGAACAACAAATTTTGATTAGGAGAACCGATTCGAAAATTGGCTTCGGTGTCGGCGTTAGACACCAGCAACTTTTCACGGATAGTCTGCTGATATTTGTCATGTGGGCTTCTGGGTCATATTAAATTTATAAACTCGCCATAATCCAGTTGAAAGCACATATATGTGTACATACCTATATATACAACTAATAAATATGTATTGCAATTTACTACTGCTTTCCCCATTTTAAAGATATCTTTATCATTAATTCTCTCTTATAATCTATGTAAGGGTATACAAGCTACTTTTTAACCTAGCACAACTCAATAGACTTTTATTTTTTCGCTTTCGCTTGTTGGGTTAAAGTTTTTGGTGTGATAAATCTCAATGTAAAATTTGCAAGCAAACACACACACAGACACACATACACATATATATATATATATATATATATATGTGTGTGTGTGTATATATACAAACACGCAGACCTGCACAGCAGGCAGCAACGCGTTAAAATAAATGCTCCAATGCCAATAAATGCACAGTGACACGCCCACATGTATGCAGACGGAGTGGAAAAGGGGGCGTGGGAGTGGAGAAGAGTGGCGAGATCCGGCAAGTCGGCGCCAAGCACGTTTGAGCTTCACGTGGAAGCATTTTTAATCAAAATTCCCAACAGGCTAAAGCAACGCGAGATCAAAAACACTTGCAACGATATGTGTGATACAGTATGTCTAGGTGTGGGTGGGTGTGTGTATGTATGTGTATGTGTTGGTGTTGGTACTGCTCTTGTTGCTCTTATTACAACTCACCACAAAGCCGCCACTGCCACCTTGTGAACACACACACACTCACACTCACACACTTACACACCTGAAGGAGTCAGCGTTGTCGGATGGATTGCAACACCTGCAAATAACGTGACTCTGACTCTGCAGCTGGCGATATCTCAGATGCCTGCATAGTGGGCGTGGCAGCTGCAGTAAATCCGTTAGCTTGCAGTTTTATGCACTACCCAACAAAAAAGAAGTAAAAAATAAAAGGCACAAACCACCAACTCACCAGCAAACCAGCAAACCAGGAGCAAACCACTTACAACACAGCAGCAGCAGCAGCAGCGACGACGACGACGACGACGACACTTGCAAATTTTTTGACATTTGTTTTATGCAAATATCGAAATAAAGATTAGTCCGCGCATCGTTGCAGCGCAAAGGATATCTCACATATGCCGCCCACCCCCCGGCTCACGACCAGCACGGCGGATAAATATTCTTTGTGGGCGTGGCGCAGACACTCGCTTCTTCCCCCCAGTTTTGGGTAGGTGACTGGTAGGTGGCTGTGTTGTGTGTATTTATGTGAGAATCGTTTAACTAACTGGCGGCGTTAGTCGCTGCGATTTAGTGCTAATGTGGAACGGAGCATCCTCTCATACCTCATACACCTATCTCTCCGCCCCAAGCCCTGCAGCTTGGCTAGAGCGAGAATTTACTGTTTACAATTTGTTGGCTGATTGCATGCGCTTTACTAAATTTATTGCATGCTATATTTATTTTGTTGCTACCCCTTTTTCAACCGCCAAAGCCTTTTTCTCAGTGTGTGTGCATTTTTATCTCGTTGCGTACTTATTATAATGCCAACCATGCTGCATTATTATTTTCGTATTACTGCTTAAAAGATACAAATATGTTTGAGTCTCCGTCATTGATTACTTTATGTGATATACAATATAAATGAAGTGAAGAACCAAATAAAAGTAAAATGGCGAGCTTAGGCTAGAAAAGGTAGAATAATTGATTTGCTATTAAAAAATAAACGTTAATCATAAAAGTTCTTTAAGCTTGTTCTTGATATATTTTTTAGATTCAACTGGATGGCTTAGAACAATATATAATGGGATGAATTATGAAATAGAGAAAGATTTAGTTTTCTCCTAGAGAACGTTATGTGTGTATTTATTTCAAATCAAAAAATGAGGAATTTTAGAAGGTTATGTAATTAAAAGATGATCTCTGAACCCTTTCACTAAAATATTAATTAATTCCAAGTCTCTTATTGCCTTTTTAATCATCACAATGCCCAAGTCTAGACACATATTTTCAGCCAGTATTCCATTGTATTCTGTAAATTGCATTATTTGTGCAAATCTGCGTCTCAGTCACGCATAAGAGCCAAACAATTTGCTTAACAGCGGTGCGCCACCAGCTCCAACAACACCCAGCCACAACTGGCAGCCGAGCAAATACTTTGGCCTGAAAAGCTGGCCGACGCGTTGGCGCAAATAAATTATATTAATTGCCAGCAAGCCAAAAAACCAAAACAACAAAATAATATAAAAAAAAAATACCGTCAAAGTCTTTTTGTCGAGATTCATTAATCTCACTTTATAGTAATAAGCGGCTTTGGTGGTTACGGTTAGATTTCATTTGGGTGGGTATGGAGCTTACCTACGACCATTCGTAGGGCTTGATTAAAAAGGCCCCCAGGTCTCTCACTCTCTCTCTGAATCCTTTTCTCTATCCTCCCTGATTCGCTCTCTCTCTTTTTAACAGCTGCCTCTGCACTTGTTGCAAAGTCAAACGGCAAGTCGCACTTAGGGGGCTGAGCAAAAAACTTTATCCTTGCCATTTGCAGCGACCGCCCGCTGCGGCAGCATTGCCCCGTTTCCCATGCCCCGTATAGTTCATACTGCTGCTGCTTAGGTTTGTTCAACAGACAAACAT